GTAGGAGTGGTAGGAGTGGTAGGAGTGGTAGGAGTAGTAGGAGTAGTAGTAATTTGGATTACCCTACTTCAGCGCAGCCAGGGCGCTCTTGCAGGGTGCCTGCGGCCGAAGCGTGCCTCAGGCTGCGAAATCTAGCTACATACAGGACCCTATTCCCATCCGATAACCCCTCGTAATCTTACAGTATCTCCACTGGGTAATACCGCGGGACTGCTCATCCTCGTGACTGGCGGAGGCACCCATTGTCTTCGCCCGATCCCCCCGATCCCAGATGCATGAAGAATGGGGTGGATACACCAGCGACAAGAAAATGAAGAACGAAGAACAGCTCAATAGATTTGCGTCTTCACCGCTCGGGCGCGATGGATGAGCCCGAGGCGTAATGGCAGGCTTCGCCCTGGCTGCATCAAGTTTAGATGGTTAGTTCTGGGTTTCAACAGGCCTTCAGATCAACACATCAACTTCTGTAGTTGTGGTGGGATAGCAGTCACCAAGGAACTCCAATCCCTGGCAGATTGCCCTAGGAAAAAGAAAAAAAACTAACTGGCCGACCAGCGAAGATGATGTCAAGGCAGCATTGATTAAATAGCTGAAATGAACCCAAGGTGCTGGCGCGACATGCATAGTACTTAAACCCAAGGATCTCCAAGGATCTCCGAGTCTCAATTGCATCACACTTATCTACCAAGTAGAGACTGGTCCATATCCAAGGTCTTCAATATGCCTGAGGCTCCTAACAACAACCCCTTTACAAGGGCGAGTCGAGGCTCATCGTTCGCTCCTTCAACAACCCATCCTCTCAGAGCACCGCTATTGACCGACTACGCTGACCTCAATACGGGCCACCAGGGCCATACTCCCTCTTATTCGACGACACCTACAATCTTCTTCAATACCACAGCTCCAAATAGCAACCATGGGGATGTCCAAGTCCACACCGACCATCAGATCTTCTGGCCCAGCGATGGACCAGCAATGTACTTGGCGCCGCCGATGCCAGCAACAATTCCAGGTAGTATGCAGAGCAACACTCATGACCACCCCCATCCCTATACAGATATGTATCAGTTTCCCACCAGCATAGCACCGGAAGCATATTTCGGGTCTTTTGAAAACGTGGATCATGCGATCGTGGGGGTGGGATCGCTAGATCCGGGCTTCGGATCGATACCGCAAATGCAGGGGAACATTTCTGAGCCAAGGTATGTTATAAGGCTTCAAATCCCTCGGGACAGAGCTGACAAACCGCTAGACAAACTGGTCGACAATGTACGTGGCCGGGTTGCACATATACCCAGCCTTTCCGACGGTCAGGAGACCTGGCGAGACATGTGCGAACCATTCATGAAAACCCTCAAGCCTACCAGTGTCCACAGTGTGGGCAGCGGTTCAACCGCAACGATAACATGATTGAACATTGGCGGAGGGCTCATCACTGTCCGAATCTGGCAACGAGGCGTCACTAAGGGCTCTATTTTCCTTGCTGTCAGTGGTTGGCCTTCCATGACATTTGGGGGTAGGACGTTAGAGTATATTTTCTTTCGTGATATGTTTTCTTATCCTTTTACTTACTTCTCCTGCGCTTTGCCTCAAATTATTTGCGGGAATACCCTGGTGTTGCATACCACACGCGGTGTTGTTCATTGCATGACAGGGCGCATTGCAGCTCTTCCGTTCTGCGGGCCTCCGACGCACGTTTTTCGTTCCTACTTGCATCTGATTTCTTGTTCATCCTCTTGGCTGTTGTTTTACTGAGCGCAATTCCGTGGCCCTAATAGTCTAATACATCATGCGGGATTGTATTACCTATCTCAATACTGGTTTCGGGTTTTCTTTGTATCTGGCTCTTTCGATGCGTGCATGTCTTTCATTATCGGCTGGGGTTGTTTTAGATTTGTCTTCATCACACAATTTCAATCATTTTAGAGATGGCGACGATTAGTTGGGTATCTTCCAAATATAAGGACACATTTTCTGGAATTAAACATGATTTGCATCTGTTGCTAGACGTCCCTGGCTGCGAAGGCAAAAACATTGAGAGATGGGAATGGGAAAGAGAGAGGCTGGCGGGGTTGAGATAGGAGAAATCTTTTTTCCGTGACTTGGACGCTCTTGGGCACATGACCAGCACTGCGTAGGCTTGTAGCCACAGCCTCATAATTGTGATCTCTGTGGCTCGGACAAGGCAGCTACCACCTTTTTTCACCTTGCATACTTTTACTTTCCAATAATTCTGACCTGGTCTACTGTGTTTTCAATCCGTGGATAGAATGATACTTCGGCTAACAATACAGGAACTGCGGGATGCCAATCACCCAATCATACAATAGAACGGTCTCGAGGACGATTCCATTAGCTGGGACACATGTCACGTGTAGGATGACAAAGAGTTTACAGTTTCTTGTGATTTTCTGTTCTTCTTGTCTTTTATTTTGTCTTTTTTCTTAGTTGGGTATTATGTGTTTCTAAGAGTCATTTCTCCTCAGATCAATGCTGAAAAGCGGTTAGTACCAGTTAGCTACCATGAGATGTGGTTATCGCAGTTAGACAGGTACTATCGGTGCCTTGCGCTGATGTCAGGGATAGACCAACCGGTGTAGACAATGACATTATATCATCACAATCTACGGATGTATAGCGTGTAGATCTTATACCCAGACAGACTACTGCAAGGGCATCCAACCCGCTCAGTCAGGTATTTCGAAATAAACTTCATTTACACTTCCACCTGCTGGAATAGGTCATTGGCACGGGACGGCATATCGGATAGAAATCTAATTGGTCTGCCCATGTTTCTGGGTGGCTTGAAAAGTCCTGACGAAGGGCAAATGGAGGGACGTCTTAGCTCCGCACGGCGGTCCCCATCGATGCGGGGTCATTAAGCAACTGATTGGGGCTGGAGTTCAGGGTCGATCAACGGACTAACGTGCAGCCAAGGCTGCGAAGGAATAGGTAAGCCTGTAGCATGGATTTTGAACAACGAGAAGACACCAGAAATGCAAATTCCCAATCAGTAGCTCTTGGAACCGTTGAATGGTCTAGCCCGCTATGTCCAGTGCCGGTGACGCCATGGCTACATTAGACGGGATGAGCTACGCCACGTCGGAGCCGATGCCTGCGACATATTGTGCCTTGGGGGCAGCTGCCACTCACCGTCAAAAGTGCCCAGGACCCTGGACTAGACCGAATTTGTATTTAGCCTTCGTATCCCCGGAAGATGGGGTGGGTTCCTTATGAAAACACTCGAATTAGCTGGCCATGCTATGATGGCAACCAGATACTATAACATTTGTATGGTAGAAGAGCGACCATTAAATCGCAGCCAAATGACCAAGTGCCAATCCAAACAAATTAGATGGTCCAAAAGGTGTGAATAATGGGTTGTAGATTGACTTTCTTTCTGATATCCCCGTACACAAAGATACGCCGAACCATGTCGGCCAGGGTGTCAAACCTTGGAAACATTTTTCCCATCCATCACTGAAGCCGCTGGTAGTTGGGTACCATTTCTAAATCGTGGCGGTGCTTCTTCGGCCCTGAAAGTTGCGTGGACCCGTGAGCCTCAGATGCAGCTTCCTTCGGTGCCCTGGCTACTGAGAGGGCCAGGTTCCAGCCACTTCATAGGCCGTTCAGGTTACACCACCCACCTTTCCTTCGACTTGAGACAGCCCGCATCAACGTACACAACTCCCACTACTGAGCCCCGAGCAATGATTGGCTACTGCGGAGGTGGAAGAGAGGCCTGGAGTGGGAGGGGGTACCTTTTCCACCCATCCTGGCCGAAGAGACCTCAGATTCGGTGATGGCAAGAATGTAAGAAGCTGATGACTGCCCTCTGTTGCTTCCAACTTCATGAAAGTTACTCACTTCCACTCTTTCCGATCCCGAGCTCTCTCTTTGAGGTCTCTAGTACACTGATCGCAAAAACTCGAGAAGGTTCCGAAGCCGTGCCCCGCGCGTCATGGACCAATTTCCCTTTCCTTGGGCTAGTACCCCCAATGAAAACACTCTGCTCAGCACTTCTGCCGATGGCAACTATTTTGATGAGGTCCTCGGCGCTGAAATTACCACCGCGCCCCTCGTCGCTGCTTCATCGAGTTGGATGTATCAGAATGGTGCCAATTTGTCTTCCTTCCAGTCACCACTCAGCTTGCAGCCAGAATTCAGTGTCCACCAAGCAACCTACCAGCCAGTATCTAGTAGCCAGTCCTCATATAGCTACCAAGCGGAGCCATGGTACCAGTCAGCGCCGAACCTTCAGTCAGGGCCTAGCTACCAGCCAGCTCCCAGCGTCTACCCAACACCCCCCCATCAGCCAGTGTCCAGTAGCCAGGCCGCATATAGCTACCAGGCGGAGCCATGGTATCAGCCAGCAACCAACTTTCAGACAGGGCCTAGTTTCCAGTCGGGCCCTAGCTTTCACCAGCTGGCAATGCAAGCAGCAAACCCTGCTTCCGTCCAGCACGCAACAGGCCGTTATGCGAGCTTGGGACCCTTCCAGCATCCCCTTAATGTCTTGCACACTCAGGAAGCCCAATACAATAGCAATATGTCTGCACAGACCGTTGGAAACGAAGGCTTTGACTTCGGCTTGCCCTTGACTGGCAATGGCAATGCGAGAAGAGCCAGAACAAGGTACGCCACTCGAGATCGAGAAATTTGTGGTGCTTCCGAGACTGATTTTGACAACAAATCAGACAGCAGCCTGACCTCCGATGCCATTGGAAGGATTGCAAATATAAGGCACCTTTCTACGGGGAGCCGGGATTAAAAAGGCACGTGCGGACACAGCACCTTAAACCCGGAAGATATGAGTGTCCGAAGTGCTTCGAGAGGTTTGATCGTTCGGACTATCTGTCGCGTCATGATTCGAAGTGTAAAGGAATAGATCATGTATCGAAAAGGTAAAGTCTCCTAATTTGAATTGGGTCAATGTCATCGTGTCGGTGGTTATTCATCTTTGGCAAAGACAGCCATGCTGCCTCATCTCCATAATGCTGTCCACCTCTCCTTTACCACCTGCTGCCAATTTAACTTAGCTTTTGTTGGTGTTTCACGGGGTTGTCAGCGATCTCTGTCGGATCGGGATCAGTGATCGAACTTTGTCGCTGTCGAATGCCCATCTGTCGTTCATTATATGGAACGTTGAAAATAAGTAAGCTAACTTGCTCTCGCAACAGACCACGCAACGATGCTTCATAAACTTGCTAAAATGCAATGAGTAACGATAACGAAAGAAAAAAAAGGGGCATAGCGCCCTAATATTATGAATGACATGGGTTACACGGAGCAGCGAAAACTCAGAAACTCGTCCGATTTGTTACATGAGGTAGCACATGCCATTGGGGTTAGACACCAAATATTTTCCGGTGCGAGTTTCGGAGGATAAATGCCACATTCGCACAGGAGCCACAGGATTTCCTTATGTCTCAGGGTTTCCTTTTTCTCTTTTACTGTTCCCCGACAACAAGTTGCTTAGTTAAATTGTCCTTGCTTTCTTGATTGTCGTTGACGGAAACAGGGAGTTGAATATCAAATTGATCGTTCATCTTGATTGATACTGAATTTTTCCTTTGAGTCATATGAGCGCTTGTTTGCAACCTGAGGCGGTGTTTCAATGTCTTTTTGCCTGGTAGGCGCTTCGAGGATATCTGCTCTCGAATAATCAAATTTCTCGGTCGACAGACGTTCAAACCTGTCAAGAAACCTTAGGTGAGAGGATCTGTACCATCAGATTGTGCCACTGCTGATGTTACTGTTTATGAGGCAAGATACAATCGTGAAACCCCCATGACCATCCGTGAGCGAGCCGTTTCTAGCACAGCACGAAGCCATACATAGTGGACCGTGGGAATGTGATGCCCATGTGGTTGAATAAGGGAGCCGTCTTCTCGACACTGGTCCTTGTCACCGTGTAGGGCTGAGATTTGCTGCACATTAGGGTTAATAATTGGTTGAATATGCATAGGGCGAGATGGTTAGTTCTCACACACAACCATACCTCGATAACGTTGTCATCGTGGAGTGCATGAATGTTAGGGGTAGGAGGGCTAACACGTCCAGAAACGTGTTGGATAACAAAGAGCCCTCAAACACTTCTTGGCCATGGCTTGGAAAACACAGTCTCGTAGGATATGACAGGTCCCTTCGTTTTCATTGTCTTCCACACCCCTCTCTTCCTGTCTATTTTGCCTCCTTCCCCGGGTAATCACTCAATAGGAGTCATCCTACTTTTGATTACCTACAATATCCCCCATCGATGTAAAAAGATAAGCAACATACCCCAAGACACCTTCCCGTCCACAAGCCTAATTATCAGCATGCCAAAAAGTGGACCGCGCTAAAAATCCTTCATGGTCTCGACCAACCCAAACTCCCGAACCGAACCAACAAGACAGATAAGCCTCTCTTAGGGTACGCGGCAAGCTTCCCTTGCCCTGATTGACACGGAGGTGCCACATGGGGCTTAGTTTCCGCGAATGTGAGGTCTGAGCGGACATTGGCTTTCGTCTAAGCGAGCTTACCATTGAGATCAGCATTGGGCATCGGGGAAGTCGATAGGGTTCGTCACGGTTGTAGCCGAAGGGTCTGGGCCTCGGTTAGAATTGGTGTCTGTGGTATGTTTCACGTAGGGAGGGATATGTAAGGTCCAGTTGTCTGTGCGTTGTTGTCATTTACAAGAGAATCGTGGGGGGAGCATGGACGGGGGACAGATGAGGATGGATTCGTAGGCAGATGGCTGGTCAGCTGCTACGTTTGGTCGTATCTCTATCTTTTTCTGTATGACTACGCTTTGCGCGGCCTTTCCGGCTTTGTTTAGCTAAGACAAAACGACATCTCTGTGTCGAAGCAAGCGTTCTATGGTGGGGTTGGGTGAAACTGAGGAATCTTCGGCGTTCCGTGCCATTGTCTTTGCTCCAAACGGTGAAGCATTTACACAGGTAGCATCTTACTTAGCGGGCTAGAGCAGGTATCGGGATCCAGATTACAAGGAATTAAAATTATGAGTCTTATAATGGTGATGTAGAGGATAGTAAGGTAATAAAATCATAAACACATTTTCAGCTATAGATACAGTTACGTCCCTAGCAGGATCCGACTTTTTCATACAGCAACTGAAGAAGTGAAGTATTTACATCAAAACATGAGAGTACCTTACTCGAGGTACTCGTTGGGCATGTACAGAGGCATTGAATCCTCCCAGATAGTATCTGTCACAAGGGTCTTGTTGGTACCGTCGTAGTTCATGACCATGATCTGGCCGTACGGTTGGAAGGTGTCGTCGAAGAGAGCACTCTCATCCTTGAAGCCGTACATGCCGGTGCTCCACATAATGCGGCCGTCCTGAGACCACACAGCGCTGTATATTTCATTAGCTTATGAATGAGTGATAAGAGATAGGGGATAGACATACTGAGCATCGTTAGAAAGACTGTCAGTGACGCGGGTCAACTCGGATCCGTCAGGGCGGATGGTGTAGATATCGAAGCGATCCGCGTACCAACGAGCGCCGTAGGACTCGGTCCAGTTGTTGTTGCGGGTGAAGACAATGCGCTCGCCGTCGGGGGACCAGCCGGGGGTGTTGTCCCAGCCGTCCGTGAGCTGGTGGGTCTTGCCGGTGGTGAAGTTCAGGATGTGCAGACCCAAGGGGGCCTCAGTAGCAAGGCTCCACTTGCGGTAGACGATGGCAGTTCCATCGGGAGACCAGGAGGGGAAACCAGAGTTGTCCGATCCATCAGTCAGGTTGGTGTGCCAGGTACCGTTGGCGAAGGTGCGGTAGATCTTGGCGGTGTTTGTGCTGCGGCTGACGAACCAGGCTCCAAAGCCAGACACCAGCTCCGTGCCGTCGGGGTTCCAGGAGGGCTGGAAGGCACCAGAGTTACCTTCCAGGAGCCACTCGACCTCGGTGGAGTTGCTGATGTTGTAGATGTCGTAGGAGTCGAGAGCGTCAACAACGTCGGTGTACAGAGGGGAAGAGTGGACCAGAGAGCCGTTGGCGCTGCCGAGGACCTTCTGGGTGGACGCAATACGGTTCGCGACGGTGTTGTGCATGGGGAAGACATCCATGTAGCGGTACTCCCAATCGTTGTCGTAGCTCCAGAGCTCCAGGTCGGCAGCCTGCTGAGTCCAGTTGGGGATCCAGTAGACCAGCTTGGAGCCGTCAGGGGACCACCAGGGATCGCGGAGGTTGGTCAGGTTGAAGTTCTGGTGGCTGAAGTCAGGTTTGGTGTAGTGAATACCCTCGTCTCCGGCCTTGACCAAGTAACCAATGTTGGTCGAGTTGCCAATGTAGTGCTGGCCGACCTTAGGGTAGCTACCGGAGGTGTGAGCAACGACGTTGGAGCCAGTAGCAAAGTCTACGCTGTAGATCTGTGCGGTGACAGCCTCCTGCTGAGCAGAAACACCATGGCAGCCGTAGGTGTTCTCAGTAGTCATGTTGTTGTATATGATGCGCTTGCCATCGGGCGAGAACTGGGGGGTACCCAGCGAGTAGCCATCCTGGCGGATAACGGTGCGGAAGTCACTGCCATCAGGACGGACGGCGTACACGCCCAGAGTCTGGGTGTGCTCCCAGCCGGTACCATCGCTGTGGCCAGTCCAGTCAGTGTTGCGGTCGGAACTGAAGACAATCCACTCTCCGTCGGGGGACCAGGAGGGGCGGAAGTGACCAGTAGGCCAGGTGTTGTCGGCTCTGTTAGCCTCGGTATCGGTCAAGTTCTGGGCCTGTCCAGAGTTGAGGTCCTTGACCCAGATGTTGGTGGTGTAGTTGCCCTGAGTAGAAACGTAGGCCAGCTTGTTTCCATCGGGCGACAGAACACCGATGTCTTCAACAGAGTCCGTGGCCGCAAGTGTCTCCAGTCCCGAACCATCCACGCGAACACGGTACAGGTCCGACTGACCCGGACCGCGGCGCTCGCTGGTGAAGACAATCCACTCTCCATCAGGAGACCATGTAGGGTGGTAGTCGAAAGCATTGGTCTGGTTGCCCATGAGCTGAGTCGCGTTGGTGCCGTCGGCATTCGAGATCCATAACTGTCCTCCGGAAGGTCCAATGCGGTTCACTTGAGTCCGTAAGTACGTGAATCACTAGGGTCAATCAGGCAACCACTTACTGTAAAAGATACCCTTCTTGCCCTCAATCGGGCCTCGACGGGCCAACCCGGGGATTTCTTTCGTGGAAGCAGTAGCGGCGCGCTTAGCATAGGGACAGCCCGCAGGAGCAGCAGCAGCAGCGTTGTTGGCGCGCTCCGCATACGGGCAGCCAGCAGCGGCCGAGCCGGCCACCAGGCCAGCCAAAGCAAAGGCAGCAGAAATACGCATGTCGCCTACCCAATCAAGAACGGAAGAAAAGGATAGTAGATGCGACTCGGCGAGAGATTGTCGTGAGAGACGATGTTCTTGTAGGACCTGAGACGGAGGGATCTGCACCTTTAAGTATTGCTAGAACGGCGGGGGAACCATCCTTCATCTCGGCTACTTGGACCGTGACAAACTCGGGGGTAGGCAGAAGAACAAGCAAAGCTCGCCAAGCCTCACCCTCCTCCAAGGTGTGGATTGGCTGGGCCCGTCAGATAGGCGTAATTCGAATTCTAATCTATCCAAGTGGATCGGATCAATTTATCAATTCAATAATTGAATCCGCTGGAGAGCACGGGGAAGAAATCTATTCCAGTCCTGCAAATCTTGCAGAATTGGGTCAACACTTGTTGGTGATTGGGATCGTGGTATAGCTATGATCATATCGAGGCCCAATCAGCCCTGATCTATAGG